CGGCAAGAATGTTCTAAACAGGACCGTTTTGTACCTGTTACGACACGTTAAATTACGCGATAAAATTAAATTATTCCACGCATAATAATCAGCTACGGAATATCTCACCTTCGTATATTATATTTTGCAAGAGTTTAACGAGACTTCGGATAAGTATACTCTGACCAAATTGATTCGATCGCCTTATCAAAGGAGCTAAGCAACAAACCGTGAAACAAGGTGCTAAACGAGATCGCGCGATTTCACCCTCGTCGCATCGATTTTCGCAAATTTACTATTTCACAGCTCGGTAATCGAGAATATGGGTTAACGTTATTCAACCCGTGATTTCCGTCTACTTCGAACGAGATAACCGTTCGTGTCTGGAATTTGCACTTACTGCAAGGAAAAAACAGAAATATGGAACCAAAATTGAAATGGTATCGTACAAATGTAACCTAAATAAACGAAGCAAGAACGTCGAAAAAGGTTTTCCATCCAATAAGAATATCGTTTCGAATTGACTCGTAACCGAAGACTGATTGGATCCCCGGACTTTATGACGCGTCATTTGCGATTTAAACGTTCGCATTCGCCATTCATCCTTCTCTTTCACGGTTAGCGAAGATGAACGTCGAGGATCTGGTTATTTATTGCAATTTGTGCGAGCGCAAAACGTACGATATCGAGGGAAAAGACGCGGAGACCACGGGACGTTCCCAAGAAGGTGGAAGCTAACAGCCTCGTGGAAGATCGTTTCCAGTTTCCATTTGCGTCCTTAACCGCTTCCGCCAGCTGCGCCAGATTTCAGCTAACTTCGAATGGAAAACACTGCCGGATAATGGCTGTGCGAAGTCGTGTCGATGGATAAATCGGTCAGGTTCAAGGAAGTTCTAGAAATTCTAATAGCCAAGATCGACGATCGGTTTCGTCGAATCACGCGAACCATTCTTTACAATTAACAAAATATAGTTCAATACAAAACCTGATCACAAGCATTTAAATTTTCCTATTTTTAATTTGCTACAATCCCGAATTTATAAATTTTTCAGTAGTCTATCATATCATTTTACACACATCATATACGTACACACATCATATACGTACATACATCATATACGTACACACATCATATACGTACACACATCATATACGTACACACATCATATACGTACACACATCATACACGTACACACATCATATATGTACACACATCATATACGTACACACATCATACACGTACACGGTTCATATATGTATACAAAGCAATTTCCACTTGTCACGAAGAGCGTGTTTGAAAGATTTAATGAAGCACGATATTTACGCGATGCAATGAAATATATAGCGACAGGAATCATCCATCATTGCGAACGTTTGGAAACTCGCCCTAAAAATGGCCGGTAACTCGATCAAGGGCCAAGGGTTTCTCCGGTAATAGGAGGAAGCGAGTAATGGCCTTCCGTCTCGTTGTTCCTCGCGTCCTATGGGATCCGCGGTGTTCGCTCGCTGGCAAATAAACTCATAGAGTAATGGCCCGTGTAATTCGATGGTATTTATTCGCTTGGCTGAAGACTGACCCGACGACGGCTTCATTCGCGCGCGAATTTCACGTTTATCTCGCGTTTCGATCGTGTCTTTGTCCTTAATGCCTGATATTTAATACGACCGCTGGAGCAAATAGCGTGTGGGGCCGAGCCATCTAACTCAATTGTCGGGAGCAAGGGAATTAAGGGCCTGAATTAATCCAATTGTCCTGCTGGATAATTGAATTGCCAGGGAAATGAAAAATCAATAGACTGCAGACCATCAGCCTCTACGCAAACAGCGTTTAGATGGCGCGTTAAGTGATATTAATTGCGGCTAAAGAAATATACTGAGGGGCGGACTGTTGCTCATAAAAATCCATTAAGCAAAGATACTGTGGGTTCCAGGTACTTCCATGTATTACTATTATAAGAGTTCTATAGTCAAAGTTCGTTAAAAATAAAAAAACGATTACACCTATTACAAGTCGATATAAGAGTCTTGTTAAGGATCTTGTTAAGGAGTCCTGTTAAGGATCAATTGAAGAATCAAAACAATGAAACAAAGAATTATCGTGAGAGTCAGCTTAATCCAAATGTTCAGAATACCTCTCTGAAAATAATCATAGAGAGGGAAACAGAATACAGGAATCGTAGGCTATTCGGCGCGGATACAATCGAAAGTAGCGATCGAGCGACGGAGCATGAAACGCAGACACTATTTTATCCTGGCGTTTAACATCGTCCATTATGTACCGCATGGAGAGCGGGCGGGCAGAGGTGAACAGCCTCTGTTGTGGTAGCTGCTTGATTCCCCGCTTAAGCAGATATGATTGAGGACCGCCATAGAGACGATCAATGAGCTACTAAGTATAGTCAGCTAGTGGAGGCAAACGTTCAATCAAGCCGTGCTACACAGCCTCTTACACCGAAACACTTTAATTCGATCAAACCTCCAGGTACATGCTACTTCGACCGAAACACTATGCTAAATGGCGTGTACCTCGTTTACAATCAAATAATGAGAACTTTTAATGGGGTTAGACTCTCGTTTCTTGGAGAGCCAGGAAACAATTGACAAAATTAAATATATTTGAGGGAGTAAAAGTTTTGATATTGTGGCGGTCTTTGTGATGAGGTTGATGAGGACCATGATGAGGACCATGATGAAGAATTACAATGCTAAGGAATTATTATCGTGAACCTCGTGAAAATATAACGAGAGTTTAAAGTGAAAAAAGAGGTCGCTAAGAAACAGTAATACGGAAACCAGTGGCAAGTAGTTCGAGTGTCAGTGGAAGAAGCTGCACTGCGGCTCGTCTAACGCCATATGATCGGACGTGACTTCGCGCCGGCCGTCGCGTTTCATTAGCACCGGGCCTATTGTGCGGTACGGCTTCCCGTTCGTTCACGATCGTTCCGACCACGGCCCACACCGTTTCGCGTGATTCGTCCTCGCTTAAGGACATAAATGGCCGAGAGCACTCTGCCCACGCACGCCTGTCCACCGACTCGCCAAATAAGTTATTTGCTTCTTTCACTGCCGGTGAGATCAAGAGACTTCGCCCGACTTCCTTATGAATTATGTATGCATTTTCGTTTTGTCCAAATGTAGCTATCAATCGGGCTTCGAGTATCTCTTAATCGACTCGGAAACAACTTACTTTTTCGATGTCGTTTGGTCTCACAAGAACGATAGTCTTAAAACGTTAAACGTGTAGTAGGTACTTCATTTCAAATATATTAAAATATTGAGACACTTTGCAATATTTGGTTCAGTGAAACAGTAAATGTTATTACAAGAAAAATGTAGAAATTAAAACTGTCAAAGTGTACTGATCGAGAGATTACCTAAAATCGAAATATATTGTAATTTAATCTCCAACATGTTCGAAGTGGATATAAGCATGAGTATCTCGAAAGTCCAGTTTCGATCTCCTACCAACCGATAGACCAAATTGAAGTTATATCTCGATAAGTTTGTATAATCCTCAAAGAGCTCGAATACTTTTATTTCAGCGTATCGCAGCCATCCAACAGGATTAGCAGGAGGAATTCCGGCTCGAATACCATTTCACCGATTGCCTTCGAATTCGAACAATGCCAGGAATCCCTTTCAGCGTCCGACACGCTAGGAATTAAAGGCGGGAACGATTCCCGTTCACCTACGCGATGACACCGAGCCAGCACTGGTTGCCCGTTACGTAAGCGTGTATCCAGAGGAGACAAATACCATAAGTCAGCGTTACGTCGTCGCAAACACGCCGCTAATGGTCGCTGGAGCGGGTGGGTGGCGAACGTTTCGGACACGGGATCGCTGCTTCGCAAACCTGTCGGCGGCGGCGATGCTAAAGAATACCGGAAGACGAGCGTGGGAGGACGCGAAAACAGATCGGTCGAGTCACGGAACTTCAGCAGACGCGTCTCGGATACCTCCGTTTATTTCAAAATAAAACCCGACAAAAATCATCGACCATACAATTTGCGGTCTCCGGAGGCCAACGTCTTGTCGTCACGGTTTCTTTGCGGTTCTAACATTTTGTGGGTTCGCTGAAAACTCTTTGCACGACTGTTTTTTACGGGACTTTAATAAATTTAAACCTACTTCGACTTTTCTCTTATGAGATATATTACATGGAGGTTTTTCAAATCAGTAAAGAGATACATCTTGCGCCAGTCGCGATAAATCACCGTAAATGAAAAGGCACGATCGAATAATTACGCTTATCACGATTCTAAGGAACAAGTTTACACAGCGAGACTTTACACGACACTCTAATTCAGCGTAAAATTACAAAATGCAAATCCACTGTTTAATATCGATAGGAGGCTGGATCGCGGTGTTTACGCTCCGTAGAGCAATTTCAAAGGGAAACGCTGTCTCATCCGCCAGTTCGAGAATCGAAACGACGAACCGAGTTCGAGAGAGCGTATTAAATCGGTTTTCTCGCGGGCACAATCGAATACAACTCGTTCCTGGAACGTCACATCGGTCTTCTTGATTGTCAGCCTCCTTTTGCAAACAACAAACGCGAATCGAAGCAGCGCTGGAAACTCTTCAATGGCCGCTGCGACGTGAAGTAGCCACTTTACAACCCTGCGCCGCCTACGCGACGCTTCCGACAGAATTTCAAGTTCATCGAGGACTTCGATAAATCATACCAGCTAGTTCGTATAAAGTTGTTGGGAATAGGCGACTCGTAGGTGCTGTCGCGTTTTGCAAAACACGATTCGAATGTGTCGCGGGACAGAATGGGTTCCTTTTGAACGTGGGACGACAAAGTTCAGGAAAATACGCCTTGGAACGACTCGCGGAAGAGAACTTGATCGTGAAATGTTCAACAAACGGAATCGAGGTGATTACGGTAGACGTAAAGCAGTGAACGTAAATTCAAAAAACTAAGGATCAAAATTTATCCAGTTGGATTTAAACTTTGTGCAATATGTTTGTGAAAAAACTGATCAAGTATAGATGATTTTATCTAACGAGGTACTTACCAAATCCCATCCGCACCTCCTCCTCGTCGTCGCTGTCGATGTGCTTGATCCCCGCGATCTCGAAGCTCTTCGCCGACTGCTCCGTCCTCGTCTTCGCTGAGGAAGAGCAGTCACAGGTGTCCTCACCAGCTCCGCAGGCGCATTCGTCCCCGGCACACCTGCAGCCGAGCAAAGGGTCGTCGGTGTCGATATTCCTGCAGGCTGGACACGGGAACGTGAGGTCGTCCAGCGAGACCCTCTCGATCTTCCTCTCCACGGAGACCAGAAGGTTACCGATGAAGGCTGGTAGCTCCTCGTCGCCGACCTCGTCCAAGTGTCGCACGTACTGCAGCCTGTCTTCCGCGACACCAGCCCCGTTCCCATCTTTCTGTCCGAGGACAGCTTGGTCCAACCGTAACGGCGTCTTCAGATCTTCGGGAACGAGGATCTTACTCCTGGTTTCGCACCTGGTCGTCTCCTTCCACTTCTCCATGGTCGTCGAGGAAACGACCTTGGCGCACCTCTTCACTTTGACGCGACCATCGTCGCCGGAAAGACTAGAAGAGTTGTTTGATCCGGATCGCGTCGGCGTTCCGTTCAGATCGCCGTCCAACCCAGATTTCCACGTGTCCATACTCGACGTCGATCTGGACTTCATCACCGCGTGACCAGCCTCGACCTCGTCGCCCGCCGCGCAAGTCTCGTTCGAGTTCTTGCACTCCAACCTGTCGATCGACCGCGTCTCTTCGCGACGGTGCTCGAACACGCAACCTGGCTCCCGAGTTCTCGAACGAGTCTCCTCCCGAGATCTTCGACGAGGCCGCATCATACTCTTCGAGGAACTCGACGATTGCGGCCCTACCAAGCTGCTACTCGTCCCGCTCGAGTTCCCCTGCCTCTTCCGAGTCACCTCCCGCCAGTCCATGAACTCCTCCTCGCGGTCCCAGCCGAGGAACCCTGGTGCCCTCATGGACGTCGTTCGCCAAACTACTGCGATCTGGAACGAATGGTACATCAACATACTTGTCACGTACAGCGTGTCACGATGCGTACTATGGTGGATGATGATAGGCCACGTGCGTGATATATCACATGATATAGCATGTGATAACATAGGGAGTATATGGTGTGGAATGGAATGCATAACATTGCAACGAGTGGTTTAAGGCGCGTGGTACTATAATGTAGCTTGTAGTACTAGGTTGCAGAGTAATACAACGCGTGATAGTACTCACCAGCTCCGCAGGCGCATTCGTCCCCGGCACACCTGCAGCCGAGCAAAGGGTCGTCGGTGTCGATATTCCTGCAGGCTGGACACGGGAACGTGAGGTCGTCCAGCGAGACCCTCTCGATCTTCCTCTCCACGGAGACCAGAAGGTTACCGATGAAGGCTGGTAGCTCCTCGTCGCCGACCTCGTCCAAGTGTCGCACGTACTGCAGCCTGTCTTCCGCGACACCAGCCCCGTTCCCATCTTTCTGTCCGAGGACAGCTTGGTCCAACCGTAACGGCGTCTTCAGATCTTCGGGAACGAGGATCTTACTCCTGGTTTCGCACCTGGTCGTCTCCTTCCACTTCTCCATGGTCGTCGAGGAAACGACCTTGGCGCACCTCTTCACTTTGACGCGACCATCGTCGCCGGAAAGACTAGAAGAGTTGTTTGATCCGGATCGCGTCGGCGTTCCGTTCAGATCGCCGTCCAACCCAGATTTCCACGTGTCCATACTCGACGTCGATCTGGACTTCATCACCGCGTGACCAGCCTCGACCTCGTCGCCCGCCGCGCAAGTCTCGTTCGAGTTCTTGCACTCCAACCTGTCGATCGACCGCGTCTCTTCGCGACGGTGCTCGAACACGCAACCTGGCTCCCGAGTTCTCGAACGAGTCTCCTCCCGAGATCTTCGACGAGGCCGCATCATACTCTTCGAGGAACTCGACGATTGCGGCCCTACCAAGCTGCTACTCGTCCCGCTCGAGTTCCCCTGCCTCTTCCGAGTCACCTCCCGCCAGTCCATGAACTCCTCCTCGCGGTCCCAGCCGAGGAACCCTGGTGCCCTCATGGACGTCGTTCGCCAAACTACTGCGATCTGGAACGAATGGTACATCAACATACTTGTCACGTACAGCGTGTCACGATGCGTACTATGGTGGATGATGATAGGCCACGTGCGTGATATATCACATGATATAGCATGTGATAACATAGGGAGTATATGGTGTGGAATGGAATGCATAACATTGCAACGAGTGGTTTAAGGCGCGTGGTACTATAATGTAGCTTGTAGTACTAGGTTGCAGAGTAATACAACGCGTGATAGTACGGTGTGTCGTACTGTGGTTGATGGTAGTGCAACACATGGGAGTAGAGTACCTGGTAGTATAGCACGTGGTATTACGGAACGTAGTATTACGGCACGTGGTAGCACTGCATGTGGTATTACGACGCGTGATAGTACAACGTGTGGCAATGGGGTGCGTGAGAGTTCAACGCGTTATAGTAGGGTGCATGGTAGTACAGTGTGTGGCAGTGGGGTGCGTGATAGTTCAACGCGTTATAGTAGGATGCGTGGTAGTACAACGTGTGGCAGTGGAGTGCGTGATAATCCAATGCGTTGTAATAGGGTGCGTGGTAGTACAGCACGTGGTATTACGACGCGTGGTAGTACAACGAGTGGCAGTGGGATGCGTGACAGTTCAACGCGTTATAGTAGGTTGCGTGGTAGTACAACGTGTGGCAGTGGGGTGCGTGATAGTTCAACGCGTTATAGTAGGATGCATGGTAGTACAGTGTGTGGCAGTGGGGTGCGTGATAGTTCAACGCGTTATAGTAGGATGCATGGTAGTACAGCGTGTGGCAGTGGGGTGCATGATAATCCAACGCGTTGCAATAGGGTGATTGGTAGTACAGCACGTGCAGTTCAACGCGTTATAGTAGAGTGCGTGGTAGTACAACGTGTGGGAGTGGGGTGCGTGGTAGTACAACGTGTGGCATTGGGATGCATGATAGTTCAACGCATTATAGTAGGGTGCGTGGTAGTACAACGTGTGGCAGTGGGGTGCATGATAGTTCAACGCGTGATAGTAGGGTGCGTGGTAGTGCAACTAGTGGCAGTGGGGTGCATGATAATCCAACGCGTTGCAATAGGGTGATTGGTAGTACAGCACGTGGTATTATAACATACAGCAACACGGCGCGTGATACTACGACGCGCGGTAATTCAACCCCCTAACAGTAAGTGGTACTATACAGCGTTCATGGAATACCACCAGACATTACACGAGCAATACGACACGTGGTGCAGCAACGCGTGGTAGCACAGCACGTGATAATACAACTCACGGCAATAGAACGCGCACGAATACAATACGTGTCAATATAACACGATTACCGCATTTATCTGACGATTAACGAGGTACTTATGAATCGCTATGTGGAAGGAATGAGTAATAGGATTCCAACTCTTCAGGTGGTCGATGATTTGAGAGATTGTTAGGAAATATAGTCGTGGATAATAAAATTGCAATAGGTGATACGTGTTCTCCGGAAGTTGGAATGACCAAGCATTCGTAAATTGAAATGAAAAAGTGACAAAGGAACGTGACTCACCTCGACGGTATTCCGCTCGACGGTTTCACCAGCGGCAGCTTCGCCGCTCCCCGAGGTGGTTGCAACTGCAGCTGCGCTGCGTATGCAGAGGTAACATTCCCCGAGACGTAGCGCGGAGGCTTCGAGCTCTCCTAGCTGCAGCACGAGGCCACGTCTGCCCAACGTCAGAGGCCAGCCTTCCGGTACCACCGATTCGTTTTCCTGTAACAAAACCACCAATTTCTGTAACCAAGTTATCTCTTTATAGCAATAACTTGACATATCTAGTTTAATTGAAAACATAAATCCGATGAAGGTTTCTGATGAGAGGATTGTGATGAATAAATAAAATGTTGAGTCGCATTATCATTTTTCCCACGGCAATTCGATCATCTTCGAGTCAAGAGGGAACGCTGAGAAGGGACAATCAAGGACGATTAATTAAAAGCAAGCCGGAAGCACAATGGCTAATGAAATTCCTCTAAATAAGTTACACACGAAAGGAAGGGTAATTGCAGCCAAGCCCGCACTTGGAGGGAACGTTAATCAAGCTGATTAGAGAGTAATCAGCGTTACGCGGATACGCCCAAAACTGAGACAACAGCAGGAGACGTGCCGAACGACGTCGCATCTGGTCTGTCTCACGGTTTCTCCTATTTGACGAGCGAGAATGCGGTCGGAATTTAATCAGATTCAAATTGCGTTAGCTAGCCCCTCGAGAAGGGGAATCAGGAACGAGGATGCAACAGAGTCGAGATACGTTAACGCCTCTCTAACAGATCGAGTGTACGCCTCTGGATCTGTTCTGATGAGACCACTTTGCGTACCACCAGTTACGTTCAACTTATTCTTCGTTGATGAGCTACTTAATTGGTTTGTTAAGTTAATATTTCTTCGAGAAAATATTTCTTTTGTCAGGACAAAAATATAAATATAAATATGCCTCAAGTGTGGTGAATCATCTTATTAAATTTTTTTATTTTTTCCTGGATTTTTGCTCCATCGAGAGCATCATAATTTGATCTTCTCAAGAATTTCGTTAATCCATTCTGAGGTAATCCGAATCGATGGGAATGCAATCGACTCGGGCAGAAAAATGCGAAGAACGAACGAAAGATTCCAGGACTCTTTGTCAGAACGTTTAAAAGATCAGCTACCCTCGTGTGCATCGCCCACGTGCACCGAGATGCGGCCCAACGTGTAGCAATTAGACGGTGCAACGCGCGAATAAAAGCGACCGGTAGAATGCTCACACCTTGCCTGCATACCAACCGCAAGGAAATTAAACGAGACGAAGACACAGGTATGTGGCCTTTTTCTTTCTTCAGGAATTTCGTGACTTCCCGAAGGGACTGAAGTTTCTTTGAAGTAACGAGCTATATAAATTCGATAGTACTTCACAACATATTCTACGAAGGTATTTGCTTGTGGCCCCGATTCAACGCCACTTTGAATTCTTCGATCTTCCAGTAAATTGGAAAATTGTACAGTCCCTTCTAAATAAATCAGCAGAGCACAATTATCCTAGTACTGTATAACGAACGACATCTCAAGGATAACCACCGCAGAGATTGACAAACACCTTGAAGGAACAAAATGGCTCGATTCAGCGAACCCATCTACCCGTCAACGGCATAGCACCCAAGAACAACCTAATATCTTCGAGTCGGTCAGAGTCATTTAGGAATTCATTACGCCTATTAATTCAGCATAACGCGTATGCCCACTGGCGTGCATACATCAACGCCCATTGTGTCCGCTCGATGCACGATATCGATAGCGAGCAGGCTGGCCGGCCAAGCATAAATAACGGCGACAATAAAATCGCGAACAACCCCGAGAAAAATCGTTCGACGATCAACGCGGTCCAATATCCCCCTCCCGGAGGTTGTCGCTCGAATTCCGCTTCGATATCGATCGCGAAAAAGGGTTTCCCACGCGCGCCGATTGCCTGCTCGCCGCGTCGAAAGATCATATCGCGCCGAGGGGAAGAGGGTTGCGCAATCGGAGCGGGAATGCGGCTTAATTAAGCCGAGCGTGTTACACGCGTACGTGTGTCGCGTGCCACGTGTTGCGGTTTTCTTTGCGTGTCCTATCGGAACGGTAGCGCAGGAACGCCGAGTAGGAACTAACCCAGATTCCGGGACATGCGGGTACCGCCAAATGAATGGACAATGCTTTCGTTCAGAATAGAACGCTTTGTCGATGGATTCTTTGACTGAGCTGCGAATCGAACCTGTTCGGTTGCTCGCATCTCTTGCTATCATGAAAACCTCTTCTATGTGCTCATCGCGAAATGAGCTGTGACGTGTAAGGGAAGGATCTCACCTCAAATAACCAAAGATGCAATCTTATTCAGGTGAACCTTGCCTCTATTACAAAATCTTGTTAAGATTTTAAACCTCCAATGCATCATCGCTTTTAAGCAACTTTCTTCTCGCTGCGCCTAATCATGTCCTACACGTGTCCAAGAGAAACCGACATCCTCTCCCTCGGTATCGAGAAACCGTTATCTGCCTATAATTCATTTTAACGATACAACTTCATGCGTTTCGTTATGCCAAGAGTGCAGCTACGAGCGACACCTGAACGAAAGACAGAGAAAAGGTAATATCGTGTAATTTGATCGAATGAGAAACGCCATAACGCGGACGGGTCGCGAGCAATCACGGGCAACGCGCGACAACGAGAACGGAATCGGCGTGTCGACGCGAGGCCGGACGTTTATGATGGACGCGATAAGAAACGAGGCCCGTGACTGTCACCGCGTGTCTCATTAGCGGTAAACGGTCCGCGAGATGTATCTACCGCCGAAACTAACCGGCTTTCACCTGCACCGTGATTTACCGATGCAGTGCCCTTCAATTTACGTCGCGCCTCGTGTGTGTTTCGATCCGACCGCGAAGAAACACGCCGCGGATACTCGGAGATAGGAAGCGTGTAAATCAAACGTTCACCGGCTCGCGCACGCTTCGCTCTGGATCGTTAAACCGCGATCGCTATTTCCTCGCAGCCTCACTCTGGATATCGAACTGTTCGGGAATGTCCGGATATATGATCTCGAATTTGTTCGGGAATATGACCGGGAATTTGTCCGGTTATATGGCCGTGATTTGTCCTCTTGGAGAACCGTGAACTATCTGCCTAAGTGGAACTGTCGAGGGAATAGAACGCTCATATATTCGAACACTACCTACTGCAGCTGTTTTCTTCGTTCGATCTAATGGCTTGAATTATAATTAAATTGTGCAGAAAAGATATTTCACAAATTGATAAATTACGATTTCACAGTTTATGAAACATCGACTTCTACAATTCTGAACATCTCCATATTTCCATGCTTTGAAGCTTCGATGTAGCCAAACAAGTCCTCAAGTTTTGATACGTTAACTTCGAAATTCTATCGCTCTACCTTAGAACTACCTTGTAACTTTAAAGCTTCGCAACTTAGAAGCTTCGCAACTTTGAAACGCAGAGTTCCAAGAACCTGAATTATACCTAGAAGCCGTACAGCCTCAAAGCTTTGAACCTTCCGCCACTTTAAACATCGAAAGTAAAAATGCAAGATATCCGGCAGTAATCGTGTTTACTTTCTCCGTTTGACCGAGCTCTATTTGAAGTCACGCCTAGTTGGAAAGAAAACGACAAAGTGCATCGTTACAAACGAGTGTTGATCGGGTATCGATTCGATCGAACGGGAAGAATTCGTAATAAACGATCAAACGGGAATGAAGGCGTCTTGTACCGGATGCCGTCAAACTGACAGACGCTTGTACGCGATTGACGAAGCCTCGTTAATCCCGGTTCCTACTGCTCGTATACCAAGAAACACACACGAATGGCTTCTTACTTGATCCAATGAGGTTCGAGATCGATTTCGATCTTGTCACAAACGGGAGAAAAATTCTTTGACTAACACGTATCCGGCTGTGTGCATTCCGTCCAAGAAATCATATTAATCGCCGCGACACCGATACTTCGCGAGTTGATAAGCGATAACAACTTTCAGGTGAAACGAGATTAAGGAGTGATAAATTGATTCGTTAAACGCCTACACTTCGTGTGGACTTCATTGTCGCTGCAGCCTAATATTACAAGCGTACAATCTCGAACATCACCCCCAACGGTGCGTAGTGTGTTCTACATAGTCCATTAGCGAATGTTAAGGACGTTAATTACGGGCGGTAAGAATGTTCTAATTAAGTCGAAAAATTTTGAGATGGTCCAAAAGTTATCTCGATCACAGACAATTACACATTGTACCAAGAAAAATACAGTGGAACATCACTTTCTCCTTTATCATCGTCGCTTAATTAGCCCAACGATACACAGGTAGATGAGCGGAGAAACGTCGATGCACGCGAACCGTTCATTAAGCGCATCCTTCGTTTCTGCCTTTGAGAGATGCGTGTCTGCGTGAAAGTGAGCTTCCAGAGAACGTTTTACGACAAGACGAAAATGTGACGTTAGACATGCTACGAGCGATATTTATGCCCTCGTTAACAGAGGGAGTTTCAAAAATTCGCTGGAATTCGCATCATGAATCAACCTTCGATCGGTGTTCGGACTTTCCCTTCACCGTTTAGACGCCTCGATCGACGATTCGTTAAATTCCAAGCTCTGGAAGCATCTTTAAAGTCTCAAGGCTTCATCGAAGTTTCAGAGTTGTAAGGTTTCGCGCTACAAAACTCCAAGCTTCCAAAGCTTAATCGTTCGTGATACTCGACTACGAATAACTCCGTGTACTCGGGTGAAAAAATTAGCGGAAGGGAACGGATTGACGAAACGAGAATCATGAGACGGAATTCTGCAGACGACAAGAGGATCGCGATAATCCGACGTGTTAATCGGCATCCGCGATCGCCTCGAACGGGACTCGGACTTATTAACTCGATAGCACCGTCGGCCACGATGAATCGATCGTAATTCACCAGACGGATGCTCGCGTAGTGGTAGCTGGTTACGCACGTGATCGCAGATACCGCGATAATGAATTGCATCGTCGCCTTAAATGAGCCCTCCCGCTCTATCTTGACTAACGTTATCCTTGCCCCAAGGAAAACCGATCTAACTCGCTCCTCGATCGCTTAATGAGCCTAACTTTTCCGTCTTATCTATGCGTCACGCTTATTTCTTTTGGGAAATTCAGTGTAATCCAAGCGATCGCACACGGCTATATTTTATCCTTGTTTTTAACGCGACGTATCATTAATCGCATGTTT